ATCTCGATAACACCATAGGGATCTTTCGAATCATCCACGACTTTTGAAGAGAGAGTCTCACTAGGTCTATTTAGGGGTGCATCACTGCCAGTGTGATGTGGTGATGATTCAGCCGACGAGGAAGTGACCAAATCCATCATTACCTCCCCTTCATCGACTTCGCTCCCGATTTCGCATCTACTGTCACCGTCATTTTTTCGATCTACCTCTCCTACCTCGCCAAGAAGGTCTTTTGACTTCCGGACGGGAAGTTCAAGGAGGCTAGTTGACGCAAGTATGAGCGGCACTCGGTTAGCAAGCTCACCAGCTCGTTCCACTTCAGTCTGCCTTCCTGTGGCTTGGCTCTGGGTGACCCGCTTAATACGTGATATACCTGCAAGAACGCGCTTTACCAATGCAACCAGACCTTGAGCGCTTTTTGAGGCCAGCTTCACGCATCTGAGTATCAAGAGATTAATGAATGAAAGTGGACTGAGAAAATATTACCAACTAATGGTAAGAATAATGATCACCCATAAAGTATTAATAGTCTATTGTAATTAAAGATTAAATATTTCGCAATCAGACCTGAAAAACTGAGTAAATATATCGTAGATATAAAGACCAAGATGGTGTGATCTTCAGCTTGGATGCAGTCCCCTTTAGATTTATAGTGCCAGTTCAACCTTGTTTTCGAAACTTGGTCGGAGCGTCAAAGAGACCTTGTGGAATGTACCTAGTCATGTGTCCTCAGCCATAGTAATCGTGATGTCCAGCATCGGACCATTGACTTGGTACATTCCCAAACGTTTCGCCGGCATCGTCAGTGAGAGTTGCAATCGTCAGCACAGAGGTACAAACGACTGGCAGGTGAAGGCAATCCTCTTGACCAATTATCTGTTCAACGATTTTGGCATTACTCCTAGCCCCTATTTTTCGTTCTACCTTCAATTGCATCTATTTCTCTCAGCACTACTTTATATGGCACATATATCTATTCTCATAATTCTGTGCTCTCGCTTCCTCCAATGTCGTCTAAGATTGTGTCGCTACAAGCCGGTTGGGTAAAGCATATGCATCTCCACCATTGGTACCAGGTGCTGTTTGCAGCGCCTACTCTGCTGTTAAACACCAAAAGCAATGTCTGTCTGTGAAATCTGGCTACCTAAGAGCCTTCGATTTCTGTCCTCGATTAGTCCATATTCGAGGATTCATAGCAGATGATGTCCATATCAGTGTCTGGGAAACTTCCTCTCCCTAGGCTTAAAACACATGACTCTGTTAAGCGTCCTTATTGACCTGGAAACCAAGGAGATTCTCAGGAAGGGACTAAATTTTGTACTTCGGAATGAATATTTTAATGAAGGCGATA